TGTTGGTGTTGGCAGTGAGTAGTCTGGTCATGTCTGCAGTGGTGTATGTAGCAGTTTTGGTCGTAGGTATACTTGACTGTTCCGTCCTGGAGGTGATGATGGATTTCTGAAGACAGCATTGTGTTCTTATACTCCTTGGTTTGTAGAAGTATACACCTTTCAGATATCGGACCCGTTGTGGTGCAGCAGTGTCAGTGACAGTGGCACCGTGAGGTGCATCCGCAGTGTCTTGTGTTTTTGCTTTCTTGGCTGGTGGCTGAACTGGTGAAGGCGAGATTTCCGACTGGTCAGTTGCTCTAGCAGTGGATGAAAGCGGTAGTGGACTCTCTTTGGTGGGTTTTGCCGACGTCTCAGAGGTCTCTGATTGGTCCATCTCTGTGTCTAGTGGAGGTTGTGACAGCGGTGGAGCAGCGGTGATGCTGGAAGGTGGTGATGCAGGGAATGTGAGGCCAGGCATATTATTTAGTTTGAAAAGTTCATTGATGGTGGTGTTGAAGGAACCAGGCTCAGCTGGGATTCTGTACATGAGCATACATAATGCAACAAAGAATCTTGGTGGAGTCGGCAGTAGTTGCTGGCAGGGAAGTGGTGGGAGCAGCTTGCGTGGCATGTAGTATCTTGGTAGTGTCTGCTTGAAGCTTGGCGATAGCAGAATATGTGGTTGCTTGTGGGTTGGGTTTCTTTTGTTGTTGTTGTTTCTTTATATGTCTCTTTTTGGTAGGCACCTGGCAGCAAGAGTATGGTGGTCATTCTTGCAGTTCAAGCATTTAGGTGGTGAAGCAGTAGTGCAGTCTTTAAGTCATGACCCTCAACGGCCACAGTGGAGCAGAACTTCTTGTCCTTGGTAGGACAATCATTTGTGGTGTGTAAGTATGAGTAACAATTATAGCACTGTGAGATAGTTGGAATTTCTCTGCTTCGATGAAGGCTGGGTTGATGTGGAAGTAGTGAAAAGCCAGGCCCTCAGCGAGAGCTCTGGCTGCCATGTTGACGTCACTGAAGGTGACCTTCAGCATGGATGAAGCATTGGGTATTTTAGTAATGAAGTCCACCTTGGCCCAGGGTTTCTTTGCTTTCGATAGATGACTTGATTCTTCAGTGGCCTGTTTCAGTGATAAGGTTGTCGAGTCCCCTTGAGGAACACGTTCCCTGCCCTCAGTGCTGGGGAAGTCAAGACAAGAAATCCCTGGTCTCGTAGAGTGGTAGTAGCAGTGGTGGTAAGTAGTTTCTCAGCCTCTGTGTCGTCTGTACAGACGACAACAAAGGCCTCTTTGAGCGATAAAATCGCATTACATTTGACTTGCAGCCTGCCACTAACGACAGCTGCAAGTGCTAGTTTGGACGACTCATTGGTTGTGCCACTCGCTGGTTTGATCTTTACTCTGTTAGAGTAATGCATCGTGAGTAAGCAGTGTGTGATCTCTGATCGTGTGCGGAAAGAAACTAATTTCCGCACACGCAAGTGCCTCGAATCAGCACTGATCGCTGTTTCGAATACAATTAAACAAAACAACGGCAGCTTCACCATCTCCGAAGTCTTAGCAAGAATCCTCCTGAAAACAGTAAACCCTGCCATCACATAGTCTCTCCTGTTATACTACACAAGCACATTACAGAGAGTGAACACCGAAAAAAACCTGCCTCTTTCCAGTCTATATTTGTCCAACCTATTTTTATGTTACCCAAGTAATAGCTTTTATATCCTTTTACTCATGTACGAATTATTTGCTCTTCCATATTGTATTATTTTTGTCACTACCACTACTACTACTGCTACTACCACTAGTGAACATCGAAATGGTACCTCACTAGTATTGCACCTCACTCAGAGCCTTTATATACCCTCTGTGTCCATGTATTGTTTGTAATGGCTTGATAAAGCTCCTGGAGAGCGAAACGTTGCCACAATAAATGTCACATTAGTTGCACTTGTGTCCTTTTACTTTACATATTGTCGGTAATTCTACCAACTTTATTACACCCGATGAGTTGTTTTCAAGGGTACTTAAGGAATGCAAGATGGAGCTTAGTCAGCCATTAACGAGTGTATTCAATGCGTCCATCCTTACCAGTGTTGTGCCAGAGTTGTGGAAGATGGCTAATGTGGTTCCTATATTCAAATCAGGGGATAAGTCCACTCCTTCAAATTACCGTCCAATAAGCCTGACATCTATAGTGGGCAAGTTATTAGAATCAATTATAGCTGACATTATCAGAAATCACCTTGAAGAGCATAACTTGATAAATGAATCTCAGCATGGATTCACGAGAGGTCGTTCCTGCCTGACAAACTTACTGACGTTCTTCAATAGAACATTTGAGGCAGTTGATAAATTAGACACATGTGCAACTCTTGGGTATCTTTATTGAGGAAACGTTTCGCCACATAGTGGCTTCATCAGTCCATACAAAGGAGAATCTTGAAGAACAGGAGGAGAATGAGGTAATCAGTCCCTCAACCTTGAGTCGATGTGGTCAGTCCATCAATCTTGAATAGAATACGGCATACGTGCTGAGAAGAAGCTTATAAACCGTTGGCAGGAGAGGTGCAGCAGTCATAGGTCGTGTAACATTTGTTCAATGTTGAAGTAGGTCGTGCCCAAGAATTAGGCAAGCGAAGAATTCCCAAGTATTAAGATCCCAAGAAGTTGCAGTGCCTGACAGGTTTGTAGATGAATGGTTCAGAGAACCGACATGTTGATGTCGGTTCTCTGAACCATTCATCTACAAACCTGTGAGGCAGTTGACAGTGATAAGGAATATGATATTGTTTATTTGGATTTTAGTAAAGCCTTCGACAGAGTACCTCACAAGAGACTCTTAAGAAAAGTGGCAGCTCATGGTATAGGAGGTAAAGTTCTAGCATGGATTGAGGCATGGCTTACCAATAGAAAGCAGAGAGTTACCATTAATGGAGTGAAATCTGAATGGGGATTAGTCACTAGTGGCGTTCCACAAGGATCAGTTTTAGGCCCTCTCTTGTTCATAATTTACTGGACAAATATATGAGTGGGAGGGGCTGGGTTTAATTGGTGTCAAGGGGTACGGGAGTTATTTCTTGAGTAGCTTTAGGTAGATGTCGTTTTGATAAGGACCTGCCTCGTATGGGCCAGTAGGCCTTCTGCAGTGTTCCTACATTCTTATGTTCTTATGACCTTGATGAAGGGATTACTAGTGACATGAGTAAGTTTGCTGATGATACAAAGATAGGCCGTATAATTCACTCTGAGGAGGATATCAATGAACTCCAGGACGATTTGAACAAGTTAATGTCTTGGTCTGAAAAATGGCAGATGAAGTTTAATGTGGATAAGTGTAAGGTACTTGCCCTTGGTAATGAAAATAACCCTCGAAGCTATAATCTAGGTGAAGTAGAGCTTTGTCATACAGAATGTGAAAAAGACTTGGGAGTCATGGTAAGCAGAAATCTAAAGCCAAGACAGCAGTGCCTTAGTGTGCGCAACAAGGCCAACAGATTACTTGGATTTATCTCAAGAAGTATAAGTAACAGAAGTTGGGGTTGGATTTGAGTGGGACTTGCACATCGGAGCTTGTTTCTTGGGTGGCATTGAAAATTGGGTTGGGCAAATGTTTTGTTAGTGGGATGAATTGTAAAGGACCTGCCTAGTATGGGCCAACAGGCCTTCTGCAGTGTTCCTCCTTTCTTATGTTCTTATGTTTACAGCTCTATACATCACTAGTGAGGCCTCATTTAGATTATGCTGCTCAGTTTTGGTCCCCTTACTACAGGATGGACATAGACTCATTAGAGAACATACAGAGAAGAATGACTAAAATGATTTACTGTGTAAGGAACCTCCCGTATGAAGATAGACTTAAAGCCTTAAATCTCCACTCTCTGGAGAGGCGTAGAATGAGGGGAGATATCATTGAAGTGTATAAGTGGATGACGGGCATAAACAAGGGAGACATTAATAAAGTACTGAGGGTGTCGAACCAGGTAAGAACCAGGAATAATGGATTTAAGTTGGATAAATTTAGATTTAGAAAGGACATAGGTAAGTACTGGTTTTCTAACAGAGTTGTAGATGCGTGGAACAGTGATAGAGGCTAGGACCTTGGGTAGCTTTAAGAAGAGACTGGACAAATATATGAGTGGGAGGGGCTGGGTTTGATTGGTGTCAAGGGGTATGGGAGTTATTTCTTGAGTAGCTTTAGGTAGATGTCGTTTTGATAAGGACCTGCCTCGTATGGGCCAGTAGGCCTTCTGCAGTGTTCCTACATTCTTATGTTCTTATGTTCTAAACGATTCGCCACACAGTGGCTTCATCAGTCCATACAAAGGACTGATGGACTGATGAAGCCACTGTGTGGCGAAACGTTTCCTCAACAAAGATACCCAAGAGCTGCACATGTGTCTAATTTATCAACGTGTCGGTTCTCTGAACCATTCATCTACAATACAGAGAAATACCACAGTCCTCATTTTGTGCCCTCGTAACACATTGGCATAATTCTTCCATCACACAAATACCTCAAGGAGATGTGGAAAGGCAGTTCAGGACATTAGGACCGAAGAAGATACACGTTTTGAAACGTTTCCTCTAATGTAATATCTGAGATTAAGACACATGTGCAACATTTGGGTATCTTTATTGTAGACGTTTCGCCATCCAGTGGCTTTATCAATACAAATTCTAGGACATAACTTGAAGACAGTAGAACTATGTACAGAAGATGAGGTAATCAGTCCCTCAACCTAGGAGTAGGTGCGAAGAGCACCAAGTTTTTGTATTGATAAAGCCACTGGATGGCGAAACGTCTACAATAAAGATACCCAAATGTTGCACATGTATCTTAATCTCATCTTGTCGGTATTGTATACCATTCGTACACAATGTAATATCTGTTTCCACATTTTGTCGGTATCACCATGCCAATTTTCACCTCCAGGAACGATGACCACCTCAGTGGTCACCTGAGCCGCTGTATAAAGGTCCGTGTAGCGACCAGTGTAGCAACCAGTGTGTGGAGGACAGCACACCCGTGCATCACCAGTCACTGACAGTGCGAAGACGTTAAAGAAGCCAGTGTCAGTTACCATGAGCCACAGGAAAGATAACCAATCATACCTCACAACATTTGATGTTGTTGTCCTCGGCACAGGCGCAGTGGCTATCTTTGTTTACATTGTTTGGAGATGCAGGAAACGCATCATAGAGGTAAGGTCACAGGGTCATATATTTGCGGAATAATTAGAGTTAAGTAATAAATGCCGCTTGCAGCACAGTCCTTCATAACTGTATTACCAGATCAGTGTCTTCCCGTATCCTTTTGATATAGTTTGTCTAATTAATTGACGTGAAACATTTAGGTATGAGGATTGAGACACATGTGCAACATATGCAACAGTTGGGTATCTTTACTTAGGAAACGTTCCACCATACAGTGGCTGTTTTGCTCCAATGCAGAGAAAGGCAGAAGATGGGTCAGTCCCTCAGTCTGGAGTCGATGTGTTCACTCCATCAACGTGTCAGTTTTGTGAACCATTTGTTCACAACTAATTAACTGTTGCTTACGTGTCTTTCTAAACCATCGTCTTTCACCTTGGTAGTGAACATTAAAATGGTATAAAATACTGACAGGTTGTTAGGTAAGACACATATGCAACAGTTAGGTATCTTTATTTCGAAACGTTTCGCCTACACAGTAGGCTTCTTCAGTCGAGTACAGAAAAGTTGATAGAAGCAGAAGAGACTTGAAGACGATGTAATCAGTCCATCACCCTTAAAGTTTTGAGGTGGTCAGTTCCTCAGTCTGGAGAAGAGCATTGTTCCGTAGTCTGAAACAATATGGAGTTGAAGTGACAGGATGGAGCCTTATATAGCGCCAGGAGGTGAGATGCTGGTCACTTTGGGAGGTCAGGTCCCTCTCAAATCCAGCCGTTCTCACCTGAAATCAACTTCGACAACCTCTACTAGTGAGAACGGCTGGATTTGAGAGGGACCTGACCTCCCAAAGTGACCTACATCTCACCTCCTGGCGCTATATAAGGCTCCATCCTGTCACTTCAACTCCATATTGTTTGTTAGGTAAGACACATATTTTATACCACTTTAATCTGTCCATATTGTTTCAGACTACGGAACAATGCTCTTCTCCAGACTGAGGGACTGACCACCTCAAAACTTTAAGGGTGATGGACTGATTACATCGTCTTCAAGTCTCTTCTGCTTCTATCAACTTTTCTGTACTCGACTGAAGAAGCCTACTGTGTAGGCGAAACGTTTCGAAATAAAGATACCTAACTGTTGCTTATGTGTCTTACCTAACACCTTGGTAGTGTACATGTGAACTGTAGCTTATTCTTTACCCTGACAGGCTCTAGCAGATGCGGTTCAGTTGCTGAACAACTCTGGCGAAGAACTAACGGAGGCGACGCATTTAATGTCCTCGAAGCTAAAAAGCCAAATGAACAACACCAACCAAGGAAACCCACCCAGAACATCCACCATGGGTCAAAGAAACCCACCCAGAACATCCACCATGGGTCAAGGAAACCCACCCAGAACACTCACCATGGGCCAAGGGAGCCCACCAAGAACACACACCAGAAGTCAAAGGAATGTATTGAGAACGTATATCAATGGCCGCTGGAGTCCACCGAAAATCCAGACTAGAGGCGCAAGACATCCCCCAAGACCCCACTCAATGGGCCAAAGGAGCGCCTTCAAAACCCACACCATATCAGTTGTTGTTGAAAACGTAAACGTGAAGCGTGAAGACAGCGCAGTGACTATTGTGGAGGAAAATGTGATGCACCATAAATGTGAATACGAGAGGTCCTCGCGGCCAGTCTGCTCCTCTACCTCACACCAGGAAGACGCTGCCATTATTGTCGAAGAACTTTTGGAATAATAGTGTTCTAACATTGAAATTGGTATGAATTTTATTGATTGTATTAGTTATTAATTAAATATATTAAATGCATTAAATTTGTTTATTTTAATTCATTGTTAATTTAAGACTTTTTTCCCTCTAATAAGGTACGTAAAAAGGGGACACTTCGTGCCTAAATTATACTAATTTTGTAACATGATACATATGCTAGAAAAACAACTTAGACATTTCTATGCACATGGAAAAAAATATAACAAAATATATGCAATTACAATCGTGTTCAGTGCAATAAAAAAGTTCAAAGGAACAAAGTTAAAAAAAACTGAACATTTTGAACATGGATTGGAAAGTCACTGACAACACTGGACGTGTATGTAGCTTTGTACTCCAACTGTTTACTCACCTTCATGTCAAACAGCAAAAAATAAAAAATTTAGAGCACATTAAAAAATAATGGCGATTGTCCCTGTGAATACGTTTGTCTGTTGTAATGGCTCAAGACAGGTGTGTCTGTTGTAAGGGAGATCAAGACAGGTGTGTATATTGTAATGGTTCAAGACAGGTGTGTCTGTTGTAATGGCTCAAGACAGGTGTGTCTGTTGTAATGGCTCAAGACAGGTGTGTCTGTTGTAATGGCTCAAGACAGGTGTGTCTGTTGTAATGGCTCAAGACAGGTGTGTCTGTTGTAAGGGAGATCAAGACAGGTGTGTATATTGTAATGGTTCAAGACAGGTGTGTCTGTTGTAATGGCTCAAGACAGGTGTGTCTGTTGTAATGGCTCAAGACAGGTGTGTCTGTTGTAATGGTTCAAGACAGGTGTGTCTGTTGTAATGGTTCAAGACAGATGTGTCTGTTGTAAGGGTTCAAGACAGGTGTGTCTGTTGTAAGGAAGATCAAGACAGGTGTGTATGTTGTAATGGCTCAAGACAGGTGTGTCTGTTGTAAGGGAGATCAAGACAGGTGTGTATATTGTAATGGTTCAAGACAGGTGTGTATGTTGTAATGGTTCAAGACAGGTGTGTATGTTGTAATGGGTCAAGACAGGTATGTCTGCTGTAATTGTTCAAGACAGGTGTGTATGTTGTAATGGTTCAAGACAGGTGTGTATGTTGTAATGGTTCAAGACAGGTGCGTATGTTGTAATGGTTCAAGACAGGTGTGTCTGCTGTAATGGTTCAAGACAGGTGTGTCTATTGTAATGGTTCAAGACAGGTGTGTATGTTGTAATGGTTCAAGGCAGGTGAGTATGTTGTAATGGTTCAAGACAGGTGTGTCTGTTGTAATGGTTCAAGACAGGTGTGTCTGTTGTAATGGTTCAAGACAGGTGTGTCTGTTGTAATGATTCAAGACAGGTGTGTATGTTGTAATGGTTCAAGACAGGTGTGTCTGTTGTAATGGTTCAAGACAGGTGTGTCTGTTGTAATGGTTCAAGACAGGTGTGTCTGTTGTAATGGTTCAAGACAGGTGTGTCTGTTGTAATGGTTCAATACAGGTGTGTATGTTGTAATGGTTCAATACAGGTGTGTATGTTGTAAGGGAGATGAAGACAGGTGTGTCTGTTGTAAGGGAGATGAAGACAGGTGTGTCTGTTGTAAGGGAGATGAAGACAGGTGTGTCTGTTGTAAGGGAGATGAAGACAGGTGTGTCTGTTGTAAGGGAGATGAAGACAGGTGTGTCTGTTGTAAGGGAGATGAAGACAGGTGTGTATGTTGTAAGGGAGATGAAGACAGGTGTGTATGTTGTAAGGGAGATGAAGACGGTGTGTCTTTGTAAGGGAGATGAAGACAGGTGTGTCTGTTGTAAGGGAGATGAAGGCAGGTGTGTCTGTTGTAAGGGAGATGAAGACAGGTGTGTCTGTTGTAAGGGAGATGAAGACAGGTGTGTCTGTTGTAAGGGAGATGAAGACAGGTGTGTCTGTTGTAAGGGAGATGAAGACAGGTGTGTCTGTTGTAAGGGAGATGAAGACAGGTGTGTCTGTTGTAATGGAGATGAAGACAGGTGTGTCTGTTGTAAGGGAGATGAAGATAGGTGTGTTTGTTGTAAGGGAGATGAAGACAGGTGTGTCTGTTGTAAGGGAGATGAAGACAGGTGTGTCTGTTGTAAGGGAGATGAAGACAGGTGTGTCTGTTGTAAGGGAGATGAAGACAGGTGTGTCTGTTGTAAGGGAGATGAAGACAGGTGTGTCTGTTGTAAGGGAGATGAAGACAGGTGTGTCTGTTGTAAGGGAGATGAAGACAGGTGTGTCTGTTGTAAGGGAGATGAAGACAGGTGTGTCTGTTGTAAGGGAGATGAAGACAGGTGTGTCTGTTGTAAGGGAGATGAAGACAGGTGTGTCTGTTGTAAGGGAGATGAAGACAGGTGTGTCTGTTGTAAGGGAGATGAAGACAGGTGTGTCTGTTGTAAGGGAGATGAAGACAGTTCAAAATATCGCAGGAATAAGGTGCTATGGGATAAATAACGGCATCGAAGTCTTGTTTACTCCATATGAGAGAGTGTTTAAGTGTGGATGGGAAGTCGAAAACTGTACAATGTGTACACTCGAAAACTGTACACATTGTTTCATATTTAGGAACACATGAGATGACTTGGGCATGTCAAGGCCTGGACATACCTCCAATTAACCTGCACTGGGTATGTCCAGGCCTGGGATGGAGTGGAAGTTCATTGCTTTTGTATAACGTCCCAACATTTCCTCTCTTTTTTTACACAAACACATTACAATCGAGACTTCGCAATGGTGTGAACATTCCTCGGGGGATTCAAACATCACCGCGATCACCATCCCAGCACCATCACCCCAGCACCACCACAACCATCACCCCAGCACCACCACAACCATCACCCCAGCACCATTTCAACCACCACCCTAGCATTACCACCACCCCAGCACCACTACAGCCACCACCACAAGCACCATACCAGCATCACCACAACCACAGTCCCAGCACCACCACAACCACAATCCCAGCAGCATCCGGATCAACGTGCTGAGCTCAGCAATAATCATTCACTTATTGAATCCCTCGGGTAATAATGAACCAGACACAACCTTCACTATCATCTGATCCAAGGGTTTAACTCCCCCTCCATAATTACTACAATTAAAACTAATTAAAGCAAAACTCTACCAAATGTATTTCATTGTTTTTGTTGCGTATTTTTGTTCTAAATGATGTTATGAATAAGATGGACATGATGAGGTGAATGATGGGAGTGGTGAGGTGAATAAGATGAAAATTCAGTGAATGAAAGAAGGAATTAATGAATGCAGGGCAATGAAGGACGAGCAATGACTGAAGGAATACCTGTAGCGTCTTCGACACCTTGCCTCCTGAAGGAGACACAGCCCAGAGCTCCGTCAAGACAATGATTTACCTTGATTCTCCCACGGGGCGTTACTAATTCCCACGGCCCCTCAATATTTCTCACGCCTCGTTAACTCTTCTCACGCTCCGCCAACATCTCCGGAGATGCTCTGTATCTTCCTCGTGGAACTCTAATACCTCCCACACTCCATTAATGCCTCCCACACTCCATTAATGCCTCCCATACTCCATTAATATCTCCAACACTCCAATAACTTCCATACTGTAAAGTAAAAGGACACAAGTGCAACTAATGTGACATTTATTGTGGCAACGTTTCGCTCTCCAGGAGCTTTATCAAGCCATTACGTAATGGCTTGATAAAGCTCCTGGAGAGCGAAACGTTGCCACAATAAATGTCACATTAGTTGCACTTGTGTCCTTTTACTTTACATATTGTCGGTAATTCTACCAACTTTATTACAATTTCCCTGCTCCATCAACACCTCTAATACTTCTAATAGATCATTAATACCTCCAACACTACATTAATACCTCCAACATTCCATTAATACCTCCCACACTCCATCAATACCTCTCACACTCCATCAATACCTCTCACACTCCATCAATACCTCTTACACTCCATCAATACCTCTTACACTCCATCAGCACCTCTCACACTCCATTAATACCTCTCACACGCCATCAATACCTCTCACACTCCTTCAATACCTCTCACACTCCATCAATACCTCTCATACTGCACCAGTACCTCTCACACTCCATCAATACCTCTCACACTCCATCAATACCTCTTACACTCCATCAATACCTCTTACACTCCATCAGCACCTCTCACACTCCATTAATACCTCTCACACGCCATCAATACCTCTCACACTCCTTCAATACCTCTCACACTCCTTCAATACCTCTCACACTCCATCAATACCTCTCATACTGCACCAGTACCTCTCACACTCCATCAATACCTCTCATACTGCACCAGCACCTCTCACACTCCATCAATACCTCCCACACTCCATCAATACCTCCCACACTACATCAATACCTCCCACACTCCATCAGTACCTCCCACACTCCATTAATACCTCCCACACTCCATCAATACCTCCCACACTCCATCAATACCTCTCACACTCCATCAATACTTCTCACACTTCATCAATACCTCTCACACTTCATCAATACCTCCCACACTCCATCAATACCTCTCACACTCCTTCAATACCTCTCACACTCCTTCAATACCTCTCACACTCCATCAATACCTCTCACACTCCATCAATACCTCTCATACTGCACCAGTACCTCTCACACTCCATCAATACCTCTCATACTGCACCAGCACCTCTCACACTCCATCAATACCTCCCACACTCCATCAATACCTCCCACACTACATCAATACCTCCCACACTCCATCAGTACCTCCCACACTCCATTAATACCTCCCACACTCCATCAATACCTCCCACACTCCATCAATACCTCTCACACTCCATCAATACTTCTCACACTTCATCAATACCTCTCACACTTCATCAATACCTCCCACACTCCATCAATACCTCTCACACTCCTTCAATACCTCTCACACTCCATCAATACCTCTCATACTGCACCAGTACCTCTCACACTCAATCAATACCTCTCACACTCCATCAATACCTCTTACACTCCATCAAT